GAAAAAGGAAGTGTCCTTTCCACAGCAATACAGTATGATGACCTGGAGTGTTTTCAATTTTTGCTAGACAGTGGAGCAGACATCAACATGCTTGGTACTGCCGAGGGGGCCCGGACAGCACTTTGCGAAGCAGCACGATACAGACGCTGGATACAGTTCAACCAGCTCCTCAGGAGAGATGCCGATGTCAATCTAGGCGGCGAAGGCGGTTACCCCCTTGAACAGCTCATAGAATTGAGTTATTTGCCCTATGGTAATATTTGGTCTATGCCCCGTTTTGGAAATGCCGACGATGCGCTTCCGCGGATCGAACTCCTGCTCAGCCGCGGTGCAAATCCGAACGCTCAAGCGAAGCATCATCACACTGCACTTCACGCGGCAGTCGCTGGCTGGAGTGACGAGAAGTCTTCTTTTTACGATCGGGTTGCACAACTTCTAATCGACAATGGCGCTGATGTAAATATGCGCGTATGCACTGGAATTGGGAATGAATATGCGACAGAGAGCGAGAAGCGGGAGCCTCAGTCACTCTTATACCACTGCGCTTACGATGGTTCCACGTCCATGGCACAGCTATTGCTCGAGAATGGTGCCTCTGTGAACGTTAATTTGCAAGCAGGACAGTTTGGTAACGCACTCCAGGCGGCTTCATCTCATAAACGCATCGAAATGATGCAGCTACTCCTTGATCACGGGGCCGAAGTCAACTCCCAAGGCGGCTACTACGGGACGGCACTCAATGCAGCCTGCCAGAGTCTCTTCAGTGATCATGCTATTCATGCTGTTCGACTGCTGCTCGAACATGGCTCTGATGTGAACATTGGAGGCGGCGAATTCGGGTCGGCACTGCAAACTGTTTGTGCTCGATTCATCCCCAAGACTAGCAATACTCTAGCCCAGATCCTGCTTGACTATGGAGCGGATGTCAACGCCCGAAGCGGCAGATATGGAGCTGCACTGCAAGCAGCCTGTGTTCACAGCCCTACGACAGTGCAGTTGCTGCTTGATCGTGGTGCTAATGTGAATGCTGAAGGCGGCGAATACGGAACTGCACTGCAAGCTGCCTGTGTTCACAACCCCTCGATAGTACAGTTGCTGCTTGACTATGGCGCCGATATAAATGCTGAAGGTGGCGTATACGGAACCTCTCTACAAGCTGCTTGTGCTCGCAGTCCCATGATAGGGCGGTTGCTGCTCGATCATGGTGCGAATGTGAATGCTGAAGGCGGCAATTACGGAACTGCTCTACAAGCTGCATTGCATTCTTGTCATCTGGACTTGGTTCAACTACTGGTTGATCGCGGTGCTGATGTGAATGCCAACGGCGGGCCATACGGATCTTGTCTGCAGATTGCGTGCGCAAATGGGCGTGTTCTTCGGTGCGAGGGTGGCATGGACGTGATACGCACACTGCTTCAGCGCGGAGCAGATCCTCTGATACATAAGGGCCAATACCCTAATCCATTCCACTCTGCTGCTGTACACAACTTGTCCTTTGACGAATATGTTTACCCACACATTAAGTCATCATTCCAAGTTGATGCCCTGTTACAATTGCTATTGGGGCATGGCGCTGAACTCAACCTAGTTGATGACAAGCGAGGTACTGCCCTTCATTACGTGCTTTCTCTTCCGCAGGATTCCAGCCTATCGTATCGTTGGCAGGATGGCTTTGAAACATGGTGGATAGGGAGGATCCTCTTTCTGCTTGATCATGGTGCCGATGCCAATCTCAATGTTGGTGAGCTTGGATCTCCTCTTCATGTCGCATGTGCGATTCAATATGACTGCGAATCCCTACCGACTTATCTGGATGAGGAATATGAGCAGTTGGTAGAGAGAATCGACAAGCGGGGCGTCATTATGAATTTAATGACGAAAGGGGTGTAAACTCTCCTTGATAAATGCCATGATATTGATATCAACGCACATGGTGGTATCTTCGGTACAGCTCTGCAGGCAGCAGCATACTCCGGCCAGCTTAAAACAGTACAGCTCCTATTACGGCGAAAATGTCATATGATATGTAATGAACGACATGGGAAGTATGGAAGTGCGCTTAACGCGGCTGTTATCAGAGCCCATTGGGATATTGTTGATGTTCTTCTTGAAGCTGGAGCAAAGCCAGATTGTCATATGCTAGAGGAGCCTGATGAGGAATTTCTTGCCCGAATACGAGAAGAGCATGGCTGGGCTGCAGAAGAGAGATACAAGACGTTCTGGGAGGTAGAAAAAAGGATCTCGTAATTATCCGGGCTAGCTTTTTGTATATATTTATTTATCATATTATTAATATCTAATATATCTGATAGAAAGTGTAGTAACCAGTTGGTCAATAAGTGATAACCGTCTTTTCCTAAGATGGATTCTTTACCGCAGGTTTGGAAGATTTAGCTGTTGTATTACTCGAGCACAGTGTTAAATAATTAAACCGAGTGGTCGTTATCTTTTACATTGCTAAGTTATACATCTACTTTTTTTTTAAAAAAAAAAAAAAAAAAAGTCCAGAAATCAGAGGTGTTTTCTGAATCTTATTATAAATGCGCGTATATTTTGTATGTGCCGTTGCTTGAAGTTATATTTCTGTAGTGCTTAACTTGCGCCTAACCAACCTCACATGTATTCCCCAAATAGTTTGTTTGCGTCTGGTTGAACATATGTAGTAACTGTGACTAAACTTGGCATATTGTCGAATTGATCAAGATCCTCGACAGAAATACTAAGGTTTCTTGGGTTCCTATTTGCGGCGTCGTCATGAATCGGGACTCCTGCAGTGTGTTTGCAGCTGTAGATTGATGATGGTTGATTGAAGCCACTCAGTACGTCTGCATCTAGAAATTAAATCGGTTTCTAAAAGTTGTACTAAAGAGAAAGGAAGAATAGCATGGCATCATCAGGCTTTGGTTGATGTCTATTCAAGAGGATATAATTCTAGCCCGACAATATTCCTCGATCTAATTCAAGAGGTCTGTTGTCTAAAAATTTGTAGGTAGACAAGTTTATTCTTTGTGAAGGGAGTGGGGTTGCCAAGACATCCTGAAGTTCTGCGGCTGAAATGGGCCTCTTCGGAAAGGTTACCCAATAAAATATTCTTCGTCCTCGGGCTTGTTGATACAAATCTTCTTGGCGGTTCGTGCTCATGGAGAGTATCATTCGCTTGTAAAATCCATGCTCCCCACCAAGCTCCTTTGGTAGTTGTAAGACTATCCTGTTCAGGTCAGCTTTGCTGCTGAGGCCGTTATCAAGACACCTTTCCATTTCTCTCAAGACCAGTATCACCCATAAAAAGACTCCTGAAGATCCTTTTAGAATATAGTCTTTGATAACCTCGAAAGTGTCCGGTCTACAGTTCCTTTCGACTTCCATGCGCTTAATCCATTTCTCCACAACTAAGCGTATGTCCTCTTCATTCACGTCCTGAAGTTTAATGTGATATGTGCATGCCCGCCTTAATCGGGAATTGATATCGCTCTCAGGTCGGCTGGCAATCAACACTTTGACGATACATTTGCTGTTGGGAACTGTAAGATCAGGCAGAAAGCGAAGAACATCAGCTCGCTTATCGCTGTCAGACTCATCCATTCCATCGACCACAATCACGACTTTCAGGGAGAAGTCAATCTGATGAAGAGAATGCAGTAACAATTTGAAATCCTCATAACTCCAATCTTTTCTGCATTCCTTCAGCTCTCGAAAACGGTTGCCAAGAAGCTTATAGAGCCGGCTGTTATCACGCCATATCTGGTAGACGATCGATCGAAGCATAAGTTCGTGGCTGGTCTCTGTGTTGCCTCCGCGGAAACTATAGTAGAACCTTGCAACGATGGTACTCTTGTCTCTAGGATTGTCGAAGGTCCAAATGTGTTTCTCCATCGGCGCCTCATTTTGCTGTTCCATGCTGGGACCGCATTCTTTGTCCTCTAATTTGCTTACTATGAGCTTCGCTAGGGTTGATTTCCCGCTTCCAGGTTTTCCTTCCAGCCAAAGCGCTGAAGCGGTAGAGTTCTCACTCCACTCTGTGTATCTCGTGTGGGAGCTTAGCCACTTCCCGCCGCCTTCGACACTTTCCACACGGCTTTCTCTTGCGTTCCATTCTTGGAAAGCCAATGTTCTTAGGCATTCTAAAGAGCTAGTTAGAGAGCTTTTCGTTGCCAATTTTGGCTACATGCGTACCTCTTCTTTCTTTTTCTCGGTCTATAGTCAAATAATGAGCAAGCTTGCTCATTATATCGTCTATCGTTTCTGATGAAATCAGCACTTTCATCGGTATATTGTCTGCGGCCCTCATCGGCGTATTGTGTGTTGGCCTTCTCAATGAGCGGATTGCTGTTGCTATCATCGTTGGATCATTTAACATGCTGCTCAGTTTGTAGCTTGCCTCAATCTCCTTCTCTTTTCGCCGGAAGTTGTGCAAAAAAGACGATCTCACACGTTTATCAAGCTTGTCAATGCCGTCAATAAGAAATATAGTTTCTGTATCAACCGCAACGATAGAGCACCTCAATAACTCCCATATAGCTTTCGTCTGAGTTTGGGATTCAAGTTTAGAAATTGGAACGTTCTTTCGCGCAGCCTTTGCTCGAGTAATGTTATTTCGAAGGAGTTGACATGCAAGAGAGGCCACCATCCCCAGCCCAGAGTCCCCGTGGGAGCAAAAGATGAACACAATATCCCTCTCTTGTATAAATTGAGGTACCAAACGAAGACTCTTGAGGACATAGGACATGGCGACTGTTTTCCCGTCCCCGCGCTCTCCGTGGATCAACAGCTTCGCAGTACTTGTTTGCCTCCAACCACGGTATTCCGGGCTATTCATGAGCCATTCTAAAGACTGTTCAATATAGGGCGAATTGCAAATCTCTTGAACCAAGTCTGGAGAATCCGATTTTGAGTACTCCACCGTGAGAATCTTTCGTAGCTGTTCTGTGTAGTGCATGCCAATCGAATCATCTATTCCGCTAGCTTAAATTAGAAAGTCATTCGCGTATAGCTCTATGGATTTAATGTGTTACGGTACCATCGACGAGGTCGTCACCAATCCAACGCTTCAATCTATTCAAGACTCTCCCATACCCAACATCAGATGCCATGCAGAATTTTGTCATGTCCATGTGATTTGCTGGAATCGTTTCGAAGTTGTAGCCAGGTATTTTTGCTGAATCAGGCTCCACGACACGCTACATACGTTAACATTTTTTCTTTTTCGTAGTTTGTGTGGGATAGCTCACACGTTTCAGAAAATCTACAGGTAGTTCCTCAATGAAGGCGTGAAGCTCAATGGGCTCGGGGCTGCTCTGGCGCCTTACAACCATGGTATGGAATCCGTCTTTGATGTTTGCCAAAGTCTCGAGTTTCTCCTGAGAACACCCAAGAGTTTCTTATTTGGCTTTTTGACGAGACTAACCACGTTTGCCACGGCAGTTGCGAACCTTTCCACGTCCGCTCCAGCATGTGGAGTTCCGAGGAAAGCAATTCCGCGCGTTGAAGAAAGAATGTCGCTTTGACCTTCGTCGTTGGGGTTATTGCAGATTAAGAGAGCATCCTGGATTACTAGACCGCCGAGGCTATGTATAACGAAAATGATGGGTCGTCCGGCAGTGTCTGTTCGAAGAGCGCTGAGATCATTGATAAGGGTCTTTGCGTGTTCCCGAACTGTGTTTTGACCAGCAACGCGAGTTAAATGGAGGATATCGGCGTCGTAACCGTATGTTATAATCCTCGCCGTCGGGAGGTCCTTTGGAAGAAGCGACTTTGGCCAGGGATCAGCTTCGCCTTCTGCAGTCCAGGTTTTTTCTCTATGGCCAGTAAGACCGTGAAGGAAAATCACGCTCAATTATGTCAGAATACATCAACAGCTCGTTTTTCTACATCAATTACCTACCCCACTTTCGCGTTCTCAACGGATGTCAGGACATTGGGCCCCAGAGCCGCAACTCTGAAGAACGGCTTGCGAGGCTTGCTAGAGGAGCCGCCCATGGTGGAAGATTTGATGGGTTACCAGATCTCCTGGGTATTTGCTGTTTCTGTGTTGACTTTGCTTCTTCAAAGTGGCAGAAGAGTTGGGGCTGGTTTATGCCAGCTTTGCATGTCGAAGGAACTGGATAATCTGCAATAGAAAGCCTCACCCTTCGATATATCAGGCGGCAAGGCCTTTGCTATGTATGAACTCGAAATCCACATTCAGTGAGAGTCTTCAGGTATGTCTCAGCTGTTGCATCTACGTTTGTGGTCTCTCCAGGTCTCATCAGTCGTCGAGTGGTTTGCACCATGAGATTTCTCAGACAAAAACTACCACAGCGGCGCTTTGGGGCCTGGTCTCTCAATCCTTGAATGCAGAGTATTCGGATTGCCTTTCTATGTTGGTAAATACCTAGGTAGGTAAGTGTAGTATGGCTGTTTCGCACGTCCCGTCCAGATTTATTACTCTGCTAGAACGAGTGTTCAACCGCTCCGCATTCTCGGAGGCTTGGTTGTTCGCTATATAGCAAGTCACTGTGAGATTGAAGTTGATGTATTGCAACTGGGCACCTTCTAGAGTGCTTATATACATATCTCTCTCTCTCTATGTATAGCATTCGTTGCATTCCATATTTCCTCCCCCCACCCCCTCCCCACAGCAGACGCCATTTCTGGGGAAATTACTTAACACTGTTTATCAAAACATGAGATTTCTTAGAGGTATGGTGTATCTGGTGGCTTCGATAGACATTGGCAACGTAGGGTGTCTTCAAGGCTTGGGAAACGCGTTGCTCTTGGAACATACGTAAGCCATATCTTTATACCCCAGAATTCCGAAGCTTTTTATCAATGTGATCTAGAGTTTTGTGTCTTTACTTTCCGAAAGCAAATTTTTTTAGTCCGAAAAAGATATCTGGAAACAAAGCGAAAAAATGGATTATGATACGACATAATTCGCTCTCATATGACTCATTTCCTCGGTAAGCCATATCTTTGTACCCCAGAATTTTGACGTTTTTCTATCGATTTAATCTAGAGCTTGCGTTTTCGCTTTCTAAACGCAACTTTGTTTTAGTCTGAAAAAGATATCTGGAAGCAAAGTGAAACAAATGGAACGTGATACAACATGATTCGCTCTCGTATGATTCATTTCCTCGGTATCTAACTATCAAGTACTCTCTTACATATATAATACTGTATATCCTTCCGAATTGTTCCCAAAATAATGACTAAATATCTTACATTCTACCTACTATATTAATTGTTGAAAGTAAGGGTGAAGCGAGAGTGATTGCAATCATCAAGAACAGCATCTTCGACTAATTGGGCATATACTCCAGCTCCAGAGATAGTAAAGAAAATTCCATAAAGTACAAGACGCATTTGTGACTCGTGAATCTGTCTATCATACTTATTGAACTTAGAGAGCATTGTATTTCTTCTTGTATAGCTATTGTTTCTTTTGGACTATAGGCGGATATGTTCAGCATATCATAGCATAGCGTATACCTCCTGGGACAAATACAAAGTCCAAGGCTCTAGTGTATGTGCGAGAGAAACTTAACTTGCGCATATGATACACCAATCTGTGAAAAGAGTATCTATCGCAGATTAGTTTTCAGGGCTGCTCATTATCACCACCATCAAGCCACCACTTTCGAAGTGAGTCAATACGATAACGTACTCGAGGCCAAAACCTGGAAGCTGCTGGAAGAATGGCGTTTTTTTGTCTGTTTAGATTTACTATAAGAGAATTCGTTCCCCCCCGAGGTTTTTGTTTTCGTTTTCTCCTCCTACACAACCACATCCAAGCAGTCAATTCTAAGCATTCAGCTCTAAGCATCCAGCTTCAAGCACACATTTGCAAGTTGCAAGCTCCAAGCAATACTATTACATTGTATACTGCTACACTCTTCTATATTTCACTGTTACAGTGTTCTACTATACCACTATTACACTCTTCTACACTCTATACTCTCCTCTACTCTCTACACTCTCTTCTACTCTTTTCTACTCTTTTCTACTCTCTCTACTATCTTCCACTCTCTCTACTATCTTCTACTCTCTTTTCTCTACCACAAAACAAACAAACACAGTCACAATGGGTTGCTGCTTTTCTGCCCCCAAGACTATCCCATCTGCTGGGTTCAAATCCATCCCATACACTGCCACTACTCCTGGGCCTAAGCCCCTTTACTACAATCCTCACAATGGCCACACACACCGCAACTTCTCATCAGCCACTCATGAGGCATATGAGGGCGAGTACTGCGAGACATGCCAATGCGTGAGGTGTGTGGACAGAAGAGCCAAGGGCTTCAAGTGGTCACATCGGTAAATGTGAGGGTTTGGAAATGTAGATAGCTTGGAATTGTTCAGCGTTTGGGATTATTAAGCGTTTGGAATTGCTCATTGTTTAGGATAGTTAAGCGTTTGGAATTGATAAGTGTTTGGAATTGTTAAGCGTTTGCAATTGTTCATCACTTGTGCTAGATCTGGTAACCACTGTATTGAATGATTTTATACTCGTTAATCAATATTCGGTTTCAATTCTACTGATACAGTCTTTTCCAAGTGATATTGAATGTAATTTGCCCAGTAGAACAGTGTCGAGTAGTAACATCGTCATCTCGGCACGGAGTATCATGTTTGTGTACAGGCATGTAAACAAACAAAACAAACTTTTTGAACATTGTCTGGACAACAATATGTTAATAGTGGCGTGTCCCGTTGATTACCTGTAGATACTTTGATGACATGGAGAGTATTACGTGTATTTCCAGAGATATTCGTACCTTTGCTATAGGGATTCATGTTGGTATGTCTTTGACGATGGGTTGGCAGAAATGATCGATACATGGCCCAGCCGCATTGTCCCCTTTCGTCCATTTATCTGGGCAAGTTCAGGGCAAGGTGCTCAATATCACTTATGGGCAGTCAGGCTCTCTTCCCTGAATCCCGCGTGATTCTTGATGAAATCAGCCAGTTTTCGGATCCCGTTTGGCTCTTAACCAAATCCAGCACAATCTTTGGATCCCGTTTGGTTCGATGTATGTTGTTATTAGTCGTTTTGATGTGTCACTGTTCCATCTTACGGCTATCTCCTGGACATATTAATAGGATGCGGTAAATCCCAACCTCCGTAATGATTTTCTTGCAGCAAGTCTCCTTGCTGAGCGTCGTGCTTGCAATGTCGGTAGTCTTAGGCGTTAGCTATACTGCACTGGACTGGGTATGTCTGGCATGTGTTGTCCAACACACCGAGACTAGCCGGTGTTTAGTTACAGTAGCACACTAGTTCTTATGCAAGACTAGAATAATACGGTACATTAGTCTAAGAGAGATAGAGTAGCCATGACAGGTTGTTTTCTATGTGGCTATTGGTTGTGTGTGCTGGAGGGTTGGTGGAGCGGGACACAGGAGGGTGTGGCTACTCCGTAGACGCAGCGGATGTTCAATACTATTAGTTGGGCTGTATAGAACAGCCAGTTTAAGCCAGCTTCACTCTATTGAAGCTATAGTGAATAAAGCGGAGATTACAAGAGTGACTGACAAAGATCTCGGATCTCGGCCATCTGGACTTGGATCTTACATGCGCATTGCCCGGCGAATAAAGGCGTAGAAGCAGAAATCCTTGTTAGAGCAGCGTTTTAGCGTCAATGATAAGACAAAACAATCCTCCCGTACCTGATTTTGGAGCCACGTCTTTATTGGCCCACTGGGTCCAGAAGAAGTGGACACTTGCTATGGTCTGGGGTCGTATTATGGCATAAGAATGGGCTAGTATAGACCCGTCTCACTGCTTTTTGCATCGGTGCTTTTCATCGTCATCTTTGGGCTTCTACCGATCCGACACGACACGAGTTCACATTCTCATCCCCCCTTAAAATCTTGAATTGTGTTGTCTCTCTTTCAAAACTCTAAGATGATACGTAATTTCTGAATTGTTGGGTATAGAAGGAGAAGCCTGGATAGCGGCCATGAATTTCATCAAGAGGATTGGGTATGCGGTGCTTTTGGCACTCTACGTGGGCGTCTATCTACGAGTGGGTTTCCTGATGGCGGAATACTGCACTGAGATGCGTTGTTGCTGACTGAATTATTGGAAAGGTATTGCATTGGAAGAGGCAGCCGATACTTCGGGGCGCAAGAGACAGTGATGAAGACGAGAATGAGAGCGAGTTTCGCTGAGACGGAAGGCCGGGAGTCATGACAACCCGCTGCAAAGCTACACGAACAATGCTTCTATTAAAGAGGAGCAAATGTGAAACATGAATCCAATACTGCGCTATCTATCTATTGTCGTATCAATTCTCACCACGCCGTCGACCCGCCATCCACACGCAAATCAGTGCCCGTAACATATGAACTCGCGTCCGCAAGCAGAAAGATGACGGCGCCGCGATACTCGTCTGGGGTGGAGATTCGCTTGAGCATTGCTTCCTGTCGCCATACTGAGGTCCATTCTTCTCGGGCGAGGACGTGCTGCGTCATGGGCGTTTCGATGACACCGGGGCTGATGGAGTTGACTCGGATGATTGGGCTTGAAGATGAAGTTGGAGATGAGGAACCCCATTCGCCAGCGAGGGAGCGGACGAGTTGGTGGACGCCGGCTTTGGAGGCGGAGTAGATTGCTGTTGGGGTGGCCTGGGGAAACAAAACGGATTAATATGAAGTTGTTTTTGCGAGTTCTCGAGCATGTACGCCATATAAGAAGAATAGAAGAGAGAAGCAATAAACTCAACTCACTTTGTTGGAAATATACCCGCTCATGCTCGCCACAAACACAAAGCTCGCTCCCAGACTCTTTCCCTCGTGATGCTGCTTCGTCACAACCTTTGCCGCTGCCTGCGCAACATACAAACTACCAGCGAGATTGACATCTAGTGTACGTCTCGTTTGATCCTCAGGAAAAACGATGGAATCACCCACGATTCCAATGCCCGCACAATTGACTAGACCGCGGACAGGATATCGGGCTTGGGCAGCTGCTGCTTCGAAGACGCTAGTGGTAGGAGATTGGGAGGAGATGTCGCAGGCATGGTAGGTGAGGTTGCGAGAGAGGGATTTTGCGAGAGATTGAAGGGGTTCTGTGTAATTCGTGTAAGTATAAAGTGGCCTAACATTTGTTTTAACAAATTGGTTGTTTTGTTTACCCCATGTCGTTGGCGGAACGTCGCCGTAATCGATGGCTATGACATCGCCGCCGGACTCAAGAATGGCTCTGGTAAGTTGTGAACCAAGGCCACCGGTCGCGCCAGTGACTGATGATTTAAATTAACATTACTGCTGTGAACTTGGGTGAGGTCAGATAAGACTTGCCTATAACCGTTCTGTCGTGTAGGGAGAAGAGATTCGGGGTGCTGGTGTTGACGAGGGTTTGATCGGTGCTCGACTCTGTAGAACCCATGATGGCGTGTATGCTTATGTTTGATCTCGTGAAAGATTCGTCGATAAATTGTCATTGGTGGTAAAACATTTCTATTTTCGCGACACCAGCTGCCGTTATTATACTCCAAGAATGGACTATCGTGATCACCACTGTTCTTTGCTTACACGAAACACAAGTTAGGCCATCCATCGGCCTCGTTCCGGGCGGCGGCCCCAGTTGCCGCTGACCACCTCAAATTCGTATTCTAGAAAAGAGGACGATGCCAGGCAACCATATGACAAATGGTCAATTTGTAAGAGAATCCTACGATGCATCCAGATTCATTGTCAAGTGATCCATCTAGTGCGTGTTGGAACTGAAAAGTTGGTCATTACAAAGCATGATCATCCCAATTAGTCCAGGAAACATGTGGATATTGAAGCTACCAAAGACAGTACGAAAAATAGTGGTAAATTCTTCACACTTGTTCACACTTGATGTATATACGTGTATGCTCCTCTCACGCCGCTTAAACGCAGAGTGGAACATACAGTGCATAGTTCAACTCGACATGTCACACCACAACTCCTATATCCATCCTCCTAGTCCTAATCTATTCTTCCAGAGACCCAAATAAGACAGATTACCAAGACAAATCGTAAATACCAGTCCAGTTTTAGTCGAGAATCCTCCCAACTCTTACACGATAAAAACCGGCGGAGCGGCGGCCCGCCAACCCACCAACTATTCCATGCACCGAAAACGCAGCGGAAGGCGGCCCGCCAGCATTAGTCACGCGGTCGATCTGTGCCCACTCAATTTAAACTTGGGAGCTGGACGCCACGAATGCAGCAGGCGAGCCGAGGTGGGGGAACACGAGAGTCACGATGCGGTGGTTCGTGTGGGTTCATTCTGGAGCTGATTTCCATGTTGGTTTAACCGGTGGTGTGTGAATTATCGTGGAAAAAGCCTAATTAAGTAAAACAATGTAAAGAAAATAAAGGCATAAGAGCATATATAACGTTGCCATATCTACTCCTGTTTCCTCTCATCATCTCTTAACATCATCATAGCCTCACTTACACCAACACCACCAATTCCATCTTATAACATCGACCATCGTATACACAGCATCAATTGACATTCACCTCACCAGCCATGGCTCGCTCCATGCTCCATCGCCTCGAAGATCTCTGCAACGTTGACGTCGACAGCGCTGATACGGAGCTCATCAAGAGCATCCCATTTACACCACACAACCGTACATCTTTACCCCTGTCACCAGTGTCCATCATGGCAAGGCGAATAGAAGACTAACATAATAATTGCTTGTCATCCAGAAACATCCAACCAGGCCATCATCACAAACGAACTCCTGGCTGATGAAGCTCTCCTAAAAGATCTCGTCAGACAATACGGCTCCCAGGGGTGGGAACGGGTCTATGACCAAGCTGTATGTTCAACAGATATCTTCCTTGTCACTCACTATACCTCCATCTCTCTCCCCTTAAGATAAACCATACCTTATCATCATCATCCCCAATACTCAAAACTCACAAAAACAACCAGGCCGTCGCCCTCACAGCCCGCAACATCCCCCTCCTCTCCGGCCGCGTCCTCATCCAAACCTCCCTCCGCCACATCTCCTCCTCCTCCTCCACAATCGCCCACGCCCGCACCCTCGCATCCCTCTACGAACAAGCCGGCGTGCCCCGCGACCGCTTCGCCATCAAGATCCCCTTCTCCGGCCCCGCCGCCGCTGCCGCACAAGTGCTCAACAAGGAGGGCATCCGGACGCTTGCCACCAGCGTGTTTTCGCTTGAGCAGGGGATTGCGGCTAGTCAGAGCGGGTGTCTGTTTATTAGCCCTTATTACAATGGTATGTTTCCTGGAGCTTCTTGTTAGACTTGATACGGAAACTGAGGACTGATTGAATTGAAAAGAAATCGCCGCACATTTGGACTCTTCCCTGCGTCTCGCTTTCGAAGATCCCGCTCTAGAGGTATGTATAACCACATTTTATTGCCCCCCTCCCCCCTATTACAAGTAAAAAGCGATAGAGAATTGTCAAGACATTCTAACAGTCGAAATAGCATCCCATGTCCCCACGTGTAATCCACATCCTCGAGGCATTCGCCAAACAATATCGCGAAACAGGCAAAGAACAACCCATCATGATCATTGCAAGGTATTTTCCACCCATTCACCCCAAATACAACAAAAACAAAAACAAAAAGGAATTGTACACTAAAATACAAGCCTCCCCTTTGACGAAAACAGCCACTTCACCCCCGCGGAAATCATGGCCATGGCCGAGCTCGGCTGCCCCCACGTCACCATCCCACCGCACCTCATCCGCACTCTCCTCGAAACCCCCGACCAGCTCCCTCCCCTCACCACCAAGAAGCCTAAGACTGGCTATGCCGAATTTGCCACGGTGCAGCGACTCACAAAACTGTCCACCATGGACCCCTTTGCCCGTCCGGACTGGGACGGCAAGCTGGCGGACATGCAGACCGATTATGTTGCCAACGACGGCGAGAAGCTGGATGAGGCGATCAGGAACGATCCCATCGCGGCGAAGAGGTTGAAGGATGTCGAGATATTCTTCATCGACATGGAGAACAAGGCGAAAGAGGCCATTGAGAAGGAAATTGCTGCACAGGGTTTGTAGATACCACACATAGATAGCTGACCACTATAGAATTAAATGATAAACACAACTTCATATCGCATGGTCACATTGCAGTCGTTTAGAACATGGTATCATCGTCGTTAAAACCTCTGCCGGTCATCGCGAAGACGAAGTTTCCTCGCAACGGAATTGGCAATCTCTAGCGCATGTTCGATGCTCGACCCCGGCCGCGCCCAAGGTTCAAGAGCCTCGACAACCACCTGGTGATTCGAATCGATATCCTCCGCGAGATGACCGAGATGTGGCGAGTTTGCAGCCAGGGCAAGCACCAAGAAACAGTTAAGAGTGCTAAACACAATCCGATCAGTCTTCATCATATCCAACAGCTCGCCTTTCTTCAACTTCAGGCATCAAAATCAAGGAACTTACAACTGCAGTGAGCTATATGCGTAGGGCGTCCTCTCCGAAAGCAGATATATCGCCCCGTGGAGGAAAGCCCGGCACGCTGCCAGGCACACCTTGCACTGAGCTACCACTGCTGGGGGCACTTCCACGTCTTCCTTTTCATACTGCGACGACGTGGCATGGATCACAAATGGCCTGAAGATACTTTGCTTCGCAGACCAATACCGCAGACGCAATATGCACGCCTGCCTATTTCCTGGCGCGCGATCAAACAGGTCGGGTTTGATGTCGACCGGTAGGCCTTCGTACCATCTATCGAGCTGAGAATTGAGTTCGCTGCACACTCGGAGGAGAGACGCATCCGGTTGCAGCGAAGATTGCTGAGAAGAGGCGAGCGAGTCGAGAGCACGGCCCGCGTATATCGTAAGACTGTCTGTAAAGTAAATGGCGTGATGCATCCGATTGAGAAGAGACCGAGCTGATATCTCGGCCAGAACGCAAAGGTGCTCAAGTTTCGGGTTGGTGCCGTAGTTGGGGAAGGGCATGCGATCAACAAGGACATCAATGCCGCTCCTTGGCTGGTGAAACTCGGCAATCATATCACTGGGTTGGCAGTTTCGTTAATATCATCAGGTATCTCGATACACATGCGTAGACTCTTCTCCCTGGGTTTATCATATCATTGGCCTCACCTTTCAATGATAAAAGATATCCAGCTAAGCCGGGTCAATTCCTGAATCTCGGCTTGGCCCGACAAGATATCCTTACACCTGTTATCCGTCAGCAACACCCTCACCACACCAAATCACAAAATACTTGCCGAATCAAGAGCTGCTGAATGCTTGTTGACGCCATATATATCATCCTCCACGCCGTCAACGGCTGCACCACATATGTAAAGTATAACGCACACAAGATCAGCCCTTGCGTCAGCTGAATACTGCCGCCGAACGAGAGGGTCCACGCCGGCACCAGGATTCGGAGTGCCCTTTGCATGCAAGCATCACCAGTATTCCCATTGTCCCCGTTATCAATCGCATCCGAAGCCGTTGCTCCAAGGGCCAAAACCGCGAGGATCACGCCCGACCTGACGTCAGAGCCTAATCCCTCTCTCATGGCGGCTTCGTAGTTTGCGAGAAGAACGTCACGATCAAAGATGGGGTGACAGGCGTGTACCAAGGCAAGAAAGCTACTGAGATAATCGTCCGTAACTGTTCTGTCAATATCTTTCTCTTCGCCTTGTAGCCCTGGCGCAGTCATAAAATCCATCGCCGCAGATGGTGATCGGCTCTCCTCGACCCGGAAGATGAAGTCCTCGGGATAATCACCCACCAAGGGACGCATCTGAGGGAGCGTCAATAGATTGCTCGTGCTCGTCTGATGTCCTAGAGGTATGGTAATTGGAGGCACATCGTCACCACCATCACCATTCACTCCACGCCTCGACGAGTCGCCTCCTTCGTGTGTGGTGAGCGCCCACGTAGAATGCGGCATTGATGCTTCTCGTGGTAGAGAGTGCGGACTCTCATCGTTTTCAGTATTTTCATTCTGTCGATAAAAGTCGGGCAGCAGGTGCGGCGTCATAGAGGCTGCTGATAAATCTCCACGATGCTGCGACTGCTTCTCCTGCTGCAATGTCCTCAGCGCCTCGGCGTGCTCCCCAAGTAACATCTCGATACTTTCCAGGCGCTGAAGCAACTCATCCGAAGCCATGATTCCATTCTGGTGGTCCAGCCCGTCCAACTGGGTACGTAAAGTAGTGTTTCTAGCTCCACAGGCCCATCAGAATACGCAAAAACAATACAATGCCTCCCTTGTGGTGCACCCAACGGAAACAGCTTCACCTCAACATTCACCTCTTTTTCACATTCACACGTACCTGGGAGGAGCAGCCTCTGTGTACACACACTCCAATCCTCTCTGCCTACAGCCCGAACATCGAGGCGTCATACCATCGCAGCGTCTCTTCCTACTCTGGCGTCAGCCCACGCAAACAAAG